TGCCCTCTCACCTCTTCTGTCATCCCCATCTGAAGACAGTTCCCTCCCCTGACAGCAAAGAGCCGCTTCTCCTGTGTGCTGCTTTAATCCTGTCAGAATCACCCCTCCAGTAGACCTCCCTGAAAGCAAAGCCTGGGGAGAAAGCCCCTGGGTGGTAAGGGAAAGGTGTTTCACTTTTCCTGCTTCTCAGACTGGGGGAAGTGTTTTAATTATTCCACTCTCTCAGTCCAGCAAGAGTGTCCAAAATTAGGACAACACCAAAAGCCTATCCCTGGAGCAAATAATTTTTATTTTGGCAAGCTGGTAGTGTTTTGTTATCATTATCAAGATGATAAGAGAAGGCAGTAGAATTTTTTTTCTGTGTGCCCAAAATTGCAGATTTCCGTGAGGTTTCTGAAAGGCTGAATGAGCAGAAACATATTTCCACAATTAAATGTGTCATATGCAGCAGAGCTAATGCCAGGCCAGGATGCTGACACTGTCAACACGGCATTTGTGGAGCAGACTCACGGCTCACACGGCATTAGTGCCATCAAAGGATTACAGAAATGTGTGACTTCAAACTAATCTACTTCATAAATCATTTAATATGAATTTTGCAAAAGCCCTCATCAAAATGCTGTCATATGTGATGTAACATAGCATCGACCTTGCTGACAAAGAGCATTAAATTGTCTCTCTGCACGACTGCTGATGCTCCTACCTGTTGCATGGTCATCCAAAACTTGCGTTGGAGCAACTCCAGCTTAATTTGCACACCCACCGCTATGGGAAACAAAAAAGAGGGGAGGATGAAGAGAGGAATGTGCAAGAGAGGAAAGACAAGTACAAGTTAGGAAAAGAGGAGTAAACATTTGCCCAAGGTGGTGGCATGGAAATCACAATCACAGCCTGCTTCCAAGTGTGAATGATAAGCATCAGGGTATCAGCACTGAGTCAGACTGCCAAGTGAGAGTCAGAGGTTTAACAAGGGCGAGGAAAAGGGGACACTGACTGTACTGAGGTACTGAGACCTCCCTCACACTAAGCACTGTGAAGCTACAAACAAATTAACAAAAAATAAAAATTCCTCCCAAGACCCCCCAGGATATCGTGAACTTTCCTCTTTGTCTTCTTCAGATTTGCCTGGCCAGAATGGATGTTTGTGATCACCCTGGCCCCAAGTCCTGTACCACGCAGCATCAATCAGAAATAAAGTAGGCCAGTGTGAGGAAGCGATTAATTTGAAAACCCACCTGTCTCAAGGGGAAATCACAGAGATTTAGATTGCTCCTAAGCCACTACAAATGCACAGAATTATGAATGTCACTTGACAGAAAGTGTGATTAGGAATAGCGATTTGTTACCCCGTCCCAGCTTAGTGCATGGTGGGCTAAGCAGAACTCTGTGTGTGTGTCTCTTAATGAAGTGTGCCCTAATTTCTTGGCTTAATTTCTCTTCTATTCCCAGCATCGTGTTCCTGAGGTAAGGCAGGAGAAGAAACGGTGCAGGGTTTCTGTAACAGAAGAACCCAGATGTCCCTGGGTAGGTTGCCCACGAGAACATGTAACAACCAGTGCAGCCGTGCGCAGCCTGGCACGGTGATGGGGAACAACTGGGCTGTGTGTCAGCCAGTTGAATCCTAGAGCTCTGGAGGAATTACAGCCTCAAGCAGGACCTCAAAATAGAATATAAAGTGCAAGTGAGGGAGAAAAAGAAACACAAGAGAGGGAGATTCTGAGACTTTTTTCACAACCGCCGATATCAGGCGGATGAAGTGTTGCTGTTTCTACAGATTTCCTCTGAATTAGAAAGAGCTTCAAAGGGGGGAAGAGATCCTTTAAATCTGAATCATGCCGTGTGGGTGCTTTTAAACTAACAGTATGAACTGATGCTCTAATTCAGATGGGTATGAATTAAAACCGGAGTATGCAATGGTGTATTTTCTTGACGCATCTTGGCACCCGGCATCAGCTCTACCTTTTATACCAGTGTCCTTGTCACATTCCCACTGCTGGTACATCTTACAAAATCCCACGTATCAGAGGCACACTTCTTAACCTGCCTCTGCCTGCTGTAAACTGAATGTGACTGCCTGTACACGAGGGGAAAGGAATGATTTCGTAGAGCTGCATTGCCCTGAGCCTCACAGAGCACAAACCAGACAAGACAAAGAATGCAAAAAAAGGAGGAAGGACAGGGCTGAGTCGAGCCTGGGCAAAGATTCATCACCTTCAGCGAGGCTACCGCAGGCATGGTTTGGCTTGGTGCCCCTGCTGACAAATCAGCAGTCCATGACAGAAGGGAAACGGTGCTGTTGCTGCTGAGTCCAATGAGGCCCACGCACCCCATTTAGGATGTAGCTTTAAATAAATTCATTGCCATCCTTCCAAACCATCTCAAGAAAGAGCCATTCCCCTTATCACAGCAGATCACATCAATGGGGCTGAGCATTACCCAGGACATGGAGTTTTTATGAGACCTGAAGAGGAGTGGATACCTACGTAACTAACCTTGCAATGCAGAGCATACTCAGTGGCTCATGTTTTTTCGAAGTGGGAACATTTAGTCTCAAAATTGTTCTTCAGAGGGATTTTAGCCCCTGGCTGTGAATCCTTGTTTCTGCCCAGGAGGCATGAGTAGCATATACCAAACCTGGACAGTTACCTGAAACATGAGGAAGAAGAAGACCTGGAAGCTTGCACAGGTGGCCAGTGGCAGGGACAAAAAGTGGAGTCTCCCAGCCCTCTTAATTCCTCTTTGCACATTGCCCACAGTCCTGTGTAACCTCTCTGTGCTGTCTGACAGCAAGCCTTGTCCTTTGGATGCAATCTTTTCAGTCCTAAACTCTCCATCTACTCGACACTAGCCCTTTTTCTCCTTCCCAGTGGTCCAGCACACATTTCTAGCTAGGGGAATCCATGGAGGTGTGGTGAGCACCACTCTCCTCCTCACATCATGGCACAGTCTGAAGAGGCTGCTGAAAGCAAAGCTGGGGTCTCTCCTGCCTCGCAGCCAGGTTTGTCTGTTTGGATGGTATCCATCAGAGGGAACTGTGCTGGGGGGATGGCTTCACATTCCTGCCTGGCAGCACCACTCCTTGCCAGTTGGCATGGATTGACAGCTACTGGCAAGAACCATGAGAAAATTTCACACATTCAGGTGACCTGAGGAAGACACGGGAACTGAGGACAAACAGGCCTCAGTCACCACTCCCCCAGTGCTAGTAACAAATAGTCGCCTGGGCGTCTTCACGCTGTTGGTGAAGCCAAGGAGAAAGGAGGAAAGCAGCATTTCAGTCTGAGGTAAGGATGATGCTACAGCTCAGGTGAGAGGGAGAAAACTGAAATAATGTCCTCCGTGCTTGTTCCACACTATAACTGATTGTTAATGAGCTTTTTTGCTCTGGTGGCAAAAGTAAGCTGCATCAGTGGGAAGATCTGAGGTCCATGAAATGATGAATGGCCTCTGCAGAGTCTTCAGAGAGACCATGGATAATGATTTTATTCCTAGTAATGTGCAAGTAACCTGTGCAACTGTAGCATTGCAGAAGTGAAATAAAAGACGAGGACAAGCATTGCTGAACACCTTGCACAGGCAGACATTGCTTCACTGTGCTGACATGCTACCCACTGTAGCTGTGCACTACTTCCCACCAGCAGGCACCCTGCCTGCAAACCCGTGGCTGCAGTGGGCTCTCTCTGGAGTTGTGCATGGAAATAAAAGCCTTCCCCTCCACCTGTTCATCCCTCCATTGAGCATGCCTGCTTCATTAGCTCATCCTCTGCTTGCCTCTCTTTCTGTCTGTGTTCCCTGGCTTCTCTCTTTGATTTATCCATATGTTGTTCTCATAAGGAGCTTTCCCCAAGATTTAACTCTTGGGCCTGCTGCACAACAAAATGCCATAACAAAGAGTCACAAGATTACATCCTGCAGAGTGCTTATCAAGATTTACCTTGCTGTTCACAACCTGTTTGCATGGCAGACAGTCCAATGGTTAAATAAAACCTGTGATTCAAATAGAAGAAGGTACCAGAGCAGCCATGCCCATAGTGTCTGTTTGCATTTTCCATTCCCTGTTTCTGAAATATTCCCATTTTCCCTCTCGACTCAGCAGCTTGAAATTTTACTTTAAGTCCTCTAAAAATTTTACTTAAAAAATAACTTCCAGACAAATGAAAATGAACAAAAGGCCCAAACCAGCCTGTTTATGACACTGGACCTGATAGAAGAAGCAGTTCAAGCAGATCAGCAAAGGAGTCATTCCTGCAAACGCGAGCTACCGAGGTCCTCAGCAAGCTAGAGGGAGGAAAGAGACGGGTCTGATTTTGTAGAAGCCCATGGGAGAGCACAGAGGGAATCCTGACAGAGGCAGTGGGCTGGATTCAGCTGTTTACTGCACCCCTGTACCAGCAGGTTATGTCAGGGAGGGCAGGGAATGCCTCTATCACTGCATAGGTGTACCCACACCTGACACTTGCACTGGACATATGGCTGAGCACAGTCTCCCTGCTGCACACAAAATTCAGGGGAATGAATGGATGCAAACACACCTCTCTTTCACCCATTCCCCTTGTCCCAACTATCCCCTACCAGCACTCCTCAAGTTTTCCCTGAATCCCCAAGAAAACAGACACAGGGCTGTGCTGCACCCAAACAGCTTCTGGGGACACCTGCTGTGGCCGGACAGGATGTGGCCAGCCCACCGTGGGCACCTCTCAGTTAAGTCTCTCTGTTGGACACACTGCCATCCCCCCATCATCTCTGGAGCACTGGTGGAAAGGGGGTGCCCTTCTCCCAGGCCCCCTGGTTTCTCCCCTGCTGTCTCCCCTTCGCTGCCGCCTGACTCCTGTACAAAAGCCAGGGCTTGTCCCTTCTCATCCTCATGCCTTTCTCTCCGGGTTTATTGTCATCAGACACAGCAGGCAGGGGGAGAGGTGGAGAGAGAGGGGGAGGTATTCAGCTCGGTGCCTTCTCTTGTAACCTGTGCCTGACCAATCTGCCTCCCGAGGGGCTGTAGGGAGCTCCTCCCGCCCTGGCATCTCCTCACCCCTCCTCGAGCCCCTTAGCTCCTGGCACCCGGAGAGGGATGGCAGCAAGGGTGGGAGGAGGGGGAGAGAGGGACTGACAGCAACTGCCCTTTCTCCAGGATGGGTTGAGAGAAACGAAAACCTCCCGAGCTCCTTCCTCTGGGTGTTTTGGAGCAGATCCTGCCTGCCTGGCGGGGTGACTCCTCTGCACTGTCTGTGTGCGTTCCTGTGCGTGTGCTGCTGCCATCGCAGATGTACCCCCAGCTGTCACTTCACCGCGCACAGTCTCTCCCTCTCCCGCCTCTCTCTCTCTCTTTCTCTCTCCCCCTATTTATTATTTACGGAGGATTACAGTCCCTTTCCCACGCTGTCACCTCGCCGTGCGGCTCCTCTGCCCTCCACGCGGGGTGAGCGGCTGGCTAGGGGGGGCTCCTGCCAGCGAGGGGCCACCGAGAGCCCAGCTGGCAACAGAGGGACTTTTCTGCTGGATTTGTTTTGGGATTGTACCGGCTTCACTGGAAGAGCTGCTATTCTCACAGGAGGGTCCATTCCAGCCCGAGAGAGGTAAGTAAAGACATCTCTCTTTTGCATTTTTCCCCCCATCCCCAGCTAAGCGAGATCAGTGGAGCTGCCCCCCAGGAACCGGCTTCCCCGGGGAGGAGAGTGTCAGCAGGGGCAGCACTGTCTGCCAGACAGCACAGTGCACAAGTCCCGGCTGTGCCAGACTGATGGGCAGCGATCTTCCCGACAAAGCAGAACGGCAAACCTGCTGCAGAGGTGCCTGGTACTGGTTCCAGTCCAGTTTCAGTGCCGGCAGCTGGGAGCAACTTCTCCCAGCTGCGAATGACACCAGCACCTTTCCTTGCACCACGGGCAGCTCGGGTGTAGTTTTGAGGCTTAAGGGCTTGGTGCTGCGGTCACCAGTGCAGCTCCCAGGGAGCCCTGGCTTTTGTCCCCTCCTCGGGGCTGTGAAAGGGGTCAGCATGAGAGGTGCCACTTGCCCAGCCCGTGATGACTTTGCTGGCTATCATTTTGGACTCAGCTGTCTAAGTAAGAACAACCTAAAATGGAGAAGTGAGGACCAAAATTGCACAGGTTCAGCACTCAGTACACAGCTTTAGGATGAGGGGAGGGTGCATGTATCTGTGTGTGGGTGTGTGTGCTCACGGACATGACCACAGGACATGAAGTGAAGGATGCCAAATCACAAGTAGAGCCAAAAATAAGTCCCAAGTTGCTTTCAGCATCTCTGCAGGCTCAACCCGCAATTTTTGAACTTTTGGGCGGAAGGCACAGCACTGAGTGGGGTGGGTGAAACACAGCACAGAGAAGCCTCACAGGCTTTTCCAGCCCTGACTGGCAGAAGAGGGCAAGAACGAGGTCTCAAATGAGCTGATGTGAAGCCCCTTACAGATAGGGGTATATATATAAGCATTAGGGGGTGTGTATGGTGTGTGTGTGCATACATACGCATGCACAGACACGTGCACACACACACATCCCACACAGGGCATTCTGCCCCCTCCTTCTCCCTCTGCCTGACCAGTTTATTGCTGTCCCTGCATCTCATGCTAATTAAGAGAGACATGTAGAACTGCAGCTCTCCAGATTTGGGGAGAGAGGATTTTTTAAGCTGTTGCTCCAACCAGGTCATGACTGAGCTGGGCCCCAGGCCCACCATGTGGACTGTCAGGTAGCCTGAATGTGCCACATCCAGCACACCCCTGATGGGAATGGCAGCGAGCAGGGTACAGCACTGCTCTGCTGCTGGTGCCTGACCTGCCACTCAAGGATGGAGAGAGAAATTAAGATCTCATTTGGGAAAGGATTGGAGCAGCTGCTGTTGCACAGTTTAAAGAAGGAAACCCTTAAAAGACAGGGGAACCCTCAAAGGCACACAAGCACTTGTCCTAAAGCAGGGGACATTTCTAGAAGTGAGGGAGCCTTTCCAGAATTGCAGATCATTTTTATTCTGAGCTTTGTGGCTCAGGTCTGTTTGGGGGTGGGAGGGGGTGGATCTTCCTCTAACTGCTGTGGGCAAACAACATTTGCAAGGGAATTATTCCACATGAGCGAAAGGCTTGCGGGAGTTGTCTCCCTGTCAGACATCAGTGCTGCCTCTGTTAGTGCATCTTGCCCACTTGGAGGAATTATGGTAAATCCTGAGCAAAGGGCCTGTTTGCAAAGAGAAAGGGGGAGAAGCCTTCTTATATAATTTTTATACCAGATCATAGCTTTACCCTTGCCTCCAGCAAAGTGAATGCCACATGCTAGCAAGGTGCACTCTCAGCTTGGATATCTTCATGAGTTACTCCAGTTTCCTGCCCTTCCTCTGGCCTTTTTTTAAGCCTGGTGTAGAAAGGATTTTCTAGGCTGTTCAGCACCACAGAAGCCTGATGAAAGCAGACCTATGTCTCAGTAGAGCTGGGATGCCCAGCAGTAGCACAGGGCCATGAGGATATCTGTTGAGGAGCATTCAAGGAGCAGCAGAGGCTGCAATAGGATGGGGACAGGCTCAAGCCTGTGGAAGGGCATTTCTGGGCAGTTCTTTGGTGACTCTTTAGCACTTGCCTGTTGCTGATCCAAAAGACAGGCCAGGCAGTCTCCTGCACTTGCCATGTTTGGTTACAAGCAGCTGCTCACACTGTTTGACATCTGTCCCAGTCCTGGGTGGCTCAAGCCATAAATCAAATGGCCATACTGGGATGCTCCTGCCAGCTGGAGAATGTTTCAGCAAGCTACACCACGACACACACTCCAGTTCTCACTGGAAAAGGAGCTGGAGTGGGAGTTCTGGGATGTTCCTTCTGCAGCGCGGAAACACGGAAATACCTTGTAACACACACCTTATTCCTGCTGTGGCTTTACCAAAATGCTGGCTCACAAAAAAGCTTTGTGTGACTGAGGGTATGAAAATAGCGAGAAGATGTGGATTTTTTAAATTCCAGACTTGAGAGATGCAAGGAAAACTTGTTTTGCCTTTGAGGGGTGGGATTATGTGAAATATATTACTCGCATTGCAAAAAAAAAAGCAGTTGAAAGTTGGAAAATGTCGGGATTGGGGGCAACGTGCCATCTGCACTGGGTTGCAGTCCTGACTGGTAGGATGACATGCTGTATTTTCATGAGCTGATCATTCAGGGTACTGGCTACATGGTGTGCAAGGAGTGAAGCAGGGGGCTGTTACTTTCTTTGGTACTGCAAAGTGTGCGCCCGTTTTATTTGTTTACTGCCTGCCATCCAAGCCCTGGAGGTAATACATCATTATTCATTGTCTTGTGGTGTTCTGAAGATGTTAGCTGCTACAGTTGCCTTGTAGCTGATGATAGAGAATTTATGCTCCTCACAAGGCAAGAGAGAGTGGTTATTTTCCTTGCTTTTGAAGGGAAAAGAGACGTCCGCTTTAGCCACACAGGGAAGGAGCAGCAGGTGCAGGGCCAGAGCTTAGGGCCTTTTGGCTCTCGGTGCCATCAAGTCCTTGAGACCAGTTTGCTGGCTAAGATGCCAGCAAATTGAAAAACAGCTGTGAGTGTTCAGCAGTTCTGCAAAATGGCCCCTAGGGTCTTGTGTTGGGCACCCGCAAAATTAGGAATGTACAGACTGTGGCCTCCTGCCAAAACTGTGGTTTAATATTCAATTCCGACTACATAAAAATAGCCTTATTTATTACAGCATCCTTATTGTTAGCTTCAGTATCATGTGTCCTTTGCACTGAGTATGGGATGGGGTACTGTGAAAGAAAAGAAATAGTACTTGGTTGGGTAAGCAAAGGCAGTGCTGTGATGCAGATGTGCAAGTGGCTGAATGAAGATTGGGCAGGTATTATCTCACATTTAAGTGCTTGGCTTTGCAAGCCAAATAGCATATTTGATCACATGGCAATTTTTTTTTTTTTTTAAAGTAAAATGTCACTTTCTTGATTCTTTTTCTTTATGAATGGGAAAACAAGAGACTTTCTGTTATTTTTGCACTGCAATGCCCACATCCATCACAGGAAGGACTGAGTCTTAAATTTACAGCAGGGCCATACAAGCCAGAACCTCCCGACTGACTGCAAGCAAAGGCTGTTACTTTGAAGACAGGCCCTCCTACCATGATCCTCCTCACTTCAAGGAGGCCGGGAAGACTCCTTCCCTGTGAACCATGCTCTCACACAAGGAATAAAAGAGTAGGACCACATCCTGAGTCTGGAGAAGAGCTGTTAGAGGCAACTTGACTTGGCACTCATCACTTGGGCTCTCTTTCCACTCCTGGTGAGGCTCTCTACTGCCAGTGCTGCCCAAAGCAGGCACAGTGCTGCTGTGATTTTGCTGTGAAGCACCTGTGTTGGGGTAGAGGGGCTGAAGGTAGGCCCTGCTCATTCCACACCACTTGCATCTAGTGATTTTGATGGGATGTGATCTTTGCCATAACCCTATCTCTTCTGTGGCTGCAAACCCTCCAGAAAACTAAAGTCACATCAAATTTGAAGACCTTCCTCAGATTCAGCAAGCCCTGAAAGCATGAGGCTCTGATCTGTGTGCTAACCCAGATGCATCCAAAGATCCTGGCTGGAACTCTGGATTGTAAGAGCTGTCACCACATCTTGTTGAGCTATGGGCAGTGTTCCCAGCTTGTAAAGGGCATAATTGTGTCCCAGAGATCTACAGGCACCCCTGGAGCTGCAGGCAGCAGCTCAGATCCCATACAGTTTGTGTGGACTTTGCAGGGTTGCCCCTCTTGAGTGCTCTGGGAAGGTGATGGGGCAGCAGAAGAGCTCCAGGCTCTAACAGGCAGCACCAACAACCTCATGCCACAGTGGCAACCAAGTGAGACAGATCTATGCAACCCACCAAGGTAGAAAGAGGACTCCTTCAGAGTCCAGCACAAACACATTGGGTGTGAGCAGTGGGAATCTGCCTTTCCTGGGCAGCTTTTCCAGGAGCCGTGTGCGTGCTGGGTCACCGATCCCCTCGCTGATAAGAGCTGAGAGGAATTTTACTGCTGGCATCTTGTGCTCTGGCCCAGCAATGTGCACTCATGGATGGATGATCCCTGCCCCTGTGAACACGCCCAGGGCACAGGCTTGTGAGACGGTGGGGAAGTGGACTGTGTTTTCTACCTCCTCTCTCTCTTCCTGCCCCAACTGCTGGAGTGGTAAGACACTGCCCTTGCAGCTGGTGGTCTCATTCTGGGAGCCTGGCAGCAGGGGAAGCACAGCCAAGGTGGTGAGTGATGGAGAGGGGGAGGGACTCCCTCACTCAGCAGCCTGGGTGGCAGCAGTTCACCACACTGGCATCTCCACAAGAAGGATGAGTAACAAGAGTCAAGCACTAGGAAGGCCAGTGAGCTGGAAGTTCTGGTGTATTTCAGAATACAGGGTATAGAAAACAGCAAAGGTAGTTTTTGGGTTAATGCAGACATGAACAATGGCAAACACACAGGTGTGGGGCGTTTTGGGTGCAAGAGGTCACCTAGGCTTGCAGAATCTCACCTCATTTTAGGAATGAGAAGCCACAAGGAGAAAAGCTCATGGCTAAAGTGCCTTGGCCCCCATAAGATATAACAGGGGTTTCTTGGTGTTG